TCAACACCTGTCGGAAATGACGGGCAAGGGTGTCATTGTAGAGATCATAGATCCTGTTGGCCTCAGCTGTGTTTGGATAATGAGTGTTAGTAAAGTCCTGAACCTCTCCCCATTTGACAAGTAAGTTTTTGTCAACTTTCACTCCTTCTGATGATGTCTCGCTTTGTGTCAATTGAAATCACCTTGCTGTTTTTTAGAAGCCATGATTTGCACAACACTTGAATAAATATAAATACCCTGCAATGAGGTGATGTACTGTACGTAATAAACAAGGAAGCAAGCCGAATTCCAACAGGAGCACTGTACTTCAGATATAATGTATTCTAATAATACTAATATATTATAAAAGTAGCAGATTGTCATTGGCAACGGCAAAAAACTGGAAACGTCATTCGCATTTGTTCGCAGAAAGTTCGTTGATCGCAGCCAATCCGTTGATCGAGTCACGTAACGGCCGAACAGAAAGTCCGTTGTTCGCAGTGTCCGTTATTCGAGGCGTACTGTACGTTATACGAGGCACCACTGAATATGATTTAATATCGATAATTTTTACGGTATCATCTACTAGTGTATCCGCTAAACGCAATTTTTCAACCATAAAGCGAATTCATACATTGGCAAGGACCATTCACTTGTGAGAAGAAAAATTGTTGTTACTAGCGTTGTTTTCGATTGGAAACAAGATTTTAAATACTTCGAAAAAATCAACGATAAGCAATTTTTACGATAAAGAAGTAAATTGTTTATTCTCGTGATTTCCAGTATCTGTTTAAAATTTTTTATAAGAACACGGCTTTCCTATCATCAAACGTCACACCCTTTGTAAAATATTAAAATATAATACAGTTAAAAATTCTTTTTAAACAAATATGTAAAACATTTTAATATTTTACATATTCGTTTTAAAAAAATTCTTAACTGTATACTACAAACTTTTATCGCTTACAGACTAAAGAGGGGTGGGCGAAAACTGTAAACTGCCGAGCTGCAATTTTTAATTATATTTCAAATTTACTTAATTTAAAACACGTGAAATTAGCAGTGGATTGTCCCTGCACATCGTACTTTTCCTTTAACAATAGAGTCGTGCCGGTCACCTATCTAACTCCTTTCGGGGAAAAATTTTGTACTGAAATAACGTGACTTCCGGTTTGCATCGCAATTCCTGTATACTTAATCGGGGCCTCCTTCTCCTGGGATTTTCATATTTGATCTCGTCTCTCGTCTGTCTAAGACCTTTCTCGAGATTAATGGAAGACAGACGGCAACAGTGGGGATTTATAGGTTTACAATGTTTGCAAATCGCAGCCCGATGACACCGCACATTTCGTCGACATGCAAATACGATAAGTGAAAGAAGGGCAAAGAAGAAAGGCACCAGTGTTCAAGAATACATGAAATTTTGTTGAAATAATAAAATTGTGGATTGAAAACTCTGTTTCAAAACGAGTTTTAAATTTGATTGCCGACATTCGTTACTGGATGGCGAGATAAAGACGAAATGTAATTTCGGAAGGAAATCAAAGACGATTTATGGACGAAACGGTACACTTTTAAGAAATTCGTAGAAATAAAACGTTCCAGACGGACTTGAAAGAAAAGTTTTAAAATTTGAAAAGCTGCTTCGTAAATAAATGGTTTAGAGCTGTAAAACACCAGCCTAAACGTGCAGAATTTTTAATAAAAGCCGAACGTCAACAATGGAAAAGTTTATGCTTGTTGCTTAAATCTATAATGCAACAGGACATGCGAGCCACTTTGCTCGGTGAGGGAGGGTTTCCCGGGACAACTGCCTGCTCGTTGGGCGGATCCGGCGCCCTGCGCTGAACCCGCAGTTGGTCGATTACATCCGGATTTAAGATACGGATTCCGGTTCCGCCCTGCAGGCCTCTTCGAGGATGGTAGATCCCTCGACTACATACTTAAAAGGTACTCTACTGCAGAGATCGATGATAAGCTGGCGAGAGCGCTGGACTCTAAGTACAGTAGGTAGGTCAACCTACGCCTTCGTGCCTGTAGTTGGCCTTACTCCGATAAGTTGTTGCTCGTTGTCGACTCAAATCTTAACTGGCCACGGGAGGTTCCCCCACTTCAAGTCCAAGTTCAGACAAGGAGATGGTAGCTGCCCCTGTGGTAGTCCTCGCGGCGACGCGAGGCATTACGTACTTGACTGTCCCTTAACAAGGGACTTCCGCCTAGGGGCAGACCAAGTTGACTGGTCCAAGCCCCCTGAACAAGTACTTCGAACGCTAGCAGCTAGTAAAGGGAACCTAAAGAAACTAAAGGAATTGATGGGAAAAATCATAGATCTATTTGATCTATAAGAGTGAAAGGCTTATTTGGGCCCCCTCCCTCTGGAGCAAGGGCCCCGCTGTCCGTATGACTGCTAAGTATGGCATAAGTTGTATTAAGTTGCCTACATAAGTTATATGTAGGCATAAGTTTGAGTAATTTGTATATTGTATACGTGTGAGCTGGAACAGGTTTAGTAGTGTGGACCAAAAGTGCAGTACAGGCTGCACAAACAAGTTATGCCAAGTTAGTGAGCTGGGCCGGGGTGCAGACGGGAGTCCGAATGATGCATCATAGGGCCCAGCTATGACGTCCCTGTCTACCGCGTCAGGTACCGACCAGTCGATGAACAAGGCATAGTCTCTTTAAACCCTGTAGTGCCAATAGGCGGGGCAGGGAAAGAGTTCCTTATGAGACTGCAGGCCCCTTTGGTAGCAGGGCCGCTCTCCGGGGCATATCCCGTTCTTGAGCCGCCCTACGGGCCCCCTTTGGGATTTTCGCTTTATCGGCGACCCTGGGGCCCACTGTCCCGTTGGAAGATGAAAAACTTTATTCTTGTTGCTTACGATCTAGATTATAAGGCAACAGGGCATCCGAGCCACTTTGCTCGCCGGGGGGGGTTTCCCGGGACAACTGCCTGCTCGTTGGGCGGATCCGGCGCCCTGCGCTGAACCCGCAGTTGGTCGATTACATCCGGATATTAAGNGAAAGTGAATATAAAGCCAGGTTAGTGGTAAGAGGTTTTCAACAAACTGATTGTATTGATGACATTTATTCTCCTGTTGCTAAAATGCCGACTTTAAAGTTGTTACTATCTTACTGCTGTCAAAATTCTTTAAATATTCATCAAATGGATGTAGAAACAGCATTTCTAAATGGTAAAGTTTTGTCTGAAGTTTATGTAAAACAGCCAATTGGTTATGAAGATGGTACTGATAGAGTTTATAAATTGAATAAGTCATTATATGGATTAAGGGAAAGTCCTCAAGCATGGTATGAATGTTTTAATGACTTTCTGCCGTGTCCCGACCACTCTCTCTGTGTTCCTCTTCCCACCTTTTTTTTTTTTTTTTTTTCGTTTTACGATCCTTTGTCTACATTTCTCATTCCCCTTTTACAACTGTACGCAAATGAATAGCACATGGACCGACAAAACCGCATCTGAGGGAGGACGCGGTGGTCCAATATTACTACATTTGCATTTGCACGTTACGTTCAGTTACAAGTGTAACACATTAATTCAAGACATCACGAGCGAGCGACCAAAATTGGCTTTGTGATCGACCGGTCGATCGCGATCGACCGGTCGATCGCGATCGACCGGTCGATCACAAAGCCAATTTTGGTCTATGCCAATTTGTTAGCCACCCCTGGTCTATAGGATAATTCTACGTCAGAACAATTGTTTTACTGAGAATTAAATTTCTACAGTATTTATATCATCAATTTCTTTATTACTCATTTCTTGCATAAGGGTTACAATATAAATTGTTTAAAATATTGAATACGTATAAGACATATATGTCTCATTGACAAAGGTCAAAGAGAGATTATAAAGCTGGGGTTTGTTAGGAGAATCTTATACCATCAGCATCATGTCACTTGACCGTGACATTTCTGAACATTTTCCTTTCTTGTTTTATTAATGAAAAATATAAGGTTTTGTTTCTTCTGTGCAATGTCTATGGGGTCCACAAAAAAAATAATAAAATAAAATAAAAAAAGTTAAGAGGAAAAGGGATCCATGGGTAAAAAAAGGTTGAGAACCACTGATCTAGACATTAAGAAAGTTTTAAAGTTTAAAAACATTCCACAATCGCTTTCGTTCGTTAAAAATAAATTTTTTTTCCATTCTTTCCCAAAGAAAATCAATTAACATACTGAAAATGTTAGATACTGTAATAAAAATACCGCATTTAAAAGTTTTTAAGGTTTATTTATTTATTTGTTCATGTGTAATACTTACAACAAAATCAACATAACCTTTATTAGAATATCTTAGATGACATTGACAAAAATATTTTTGTCCAGATTCTATCATTATATTACTTTATAATGAAATAAATGAATCTTTATTTTAATGTCATATAGATTAATCATTAAAACTATTGTTAAGTTTTCTTCATAAAGGAATTTCAACATAGAAATACAATAAAAAAAAAAAAAAATTTAAATTGTAAACATCAGAATATACATTGTGAATTTATTTGTCAAATACTGTATAGTATTATATTTCGTTTTTATTTTTAAGATAACTAAACTAGTATCATACATGTGTAATTTTCTATGTAATTCAAAATGTAATCTATAATTTAATTAGAATTTTAAAAAATCGTAATAGGATTAACCTTATATTGCAATTATAGAAAGATAAATAAACGATCCGGTTTCTTTTACTTCAAACTGTCGTTTATTCAATCATATGTTTTTATAAAAAATCATCCAACTGAAGCTATACATTAATATTTTCATTTTCTGCTATATTCTAGGGACAATTCAGTACATAAAATGCATTTAAATTTTTGATGGTTAAAAAAGAAATTTTTCTAAACTTGTCAAACGCAATCGAGTGATAAAAGTTTAAAAAATTTTGCATCATTTGCAGAATGAAAACGGAATCGAATTAATCGGCATTTTATATAACTGTAATTTAAATATTTGAAACAATATTTAATATAATTGAATGGACTTAATTGACTACAACTCACCTCATCGACGTTACGTCTCGGAATGTGTAAAAATGACAACAATAATTTTAACTTAACCTGAGACTGTAATTCTATAAAACATTCGCGTATATTTCTCAGCACATCTTGGCTTAATTGTGAACAAATAGAACCACCTAACCATAAATCATTACTCGTTCCAAGCTTATTATGTAACCACAAAGATGTGTCGCTGTCCTTAACGTGCGCCATCTTGGAAAACAGTAAACCAGAAGGCGCCATATTGGAAGAAGACCGGAAATGATGGAACAGGAAAGAGGAATTTTTCAATAATTGAAGTGAATTTTAGTTAAATTTTATTGAAATTTTAATTTAATTACATTTTTTGTTGATAAATTTAAAATTTTATTTCGCAACTCTTTAAAATATAATTAATTTTAATCTTACCCAATTGACGTAGACTGAATCGAAGAGACAACGTGTAATGTTTGCGAGATTAATTTTATAAATTTTGAAAATATTAATTTAATTTATCAATAAAATATTAAAATATATTTAATCTTGTTTATAAATTTCATAATTTGGTAAAGTATCTGTTTCATACAGAATTGCAGATGTTTTTGTTTGAAATTTTACAGATGGCGCTCGCTGTTGTTTGAATTTGAATTTTTTTTTGAGGAAAAATAAATGATGATAGTGTATTTTTTTTTATGGATTAATTAACAATCTCTCAAAATAAGAATAAAATCTAATAGTCTATAAAATATAAATTAATAATAATTTTTATTACAGTCGATATTATTTTACAAATTTAAAAATGATGCCTATGTCTTTTTTATTATATCTTTCCGCTCTGTGGGCTCCTTAACCGCTCGGCCATCTGACCGTCAATTCCCATGTGTATAATAAACTATACAGTTTCTATCACCTCTTTCTCAGCAAATATAAACTAATTATAACGACACACCTGAATTTTTTTCCAAGCATGAATTAATTTATTCTCAAACGTTTTCAACCTACTTATTATATGCCATTTTCAGACATATGATTATCGTTCCAAAATGGAACGCAACGTTTTTCGAATGCGTTTCAATTTAAATTTAAAAGATTTTTACAATTCTTGTAAAAATTCTTGCCCTTGTATCAATATAAATTCAATAAATTGTATCAATATATAAGTTTTTTAAATTACTTTTACTTCTTTTATTTTTATATTTTTCTTTCGTTATGAATCGTTTACATTTTCTTCTGCTTTGACTTTATGTTTAATTGTTAGAAAGATTACTTTCAACTCTAATTATAAATTAGTCCAAAAATAAAATGTGCAGATATGATATTTAAACTGATATACGTAATCAATTGATATAAAGTTAAAAAGTTTTATTAAGTAAAAGTATATATATGTTACAGTCAAAACCCGTTTTTAGTTAGAACGCGTTTTAACTAGTTGAAACTAGTTTCTACTGAATGTCTTTGTTAAAACCCGTTTTGTCTAGTTAAAACTAGTTCTAACTCAAATTCATTTTTGACTAGCAGTAAATTCTAGTTTTAACTAGACAAAATGGGTTTTAACAAAGATATCCAGTATAAACTAGTTTTAACTAGTTAAAACGCATCCTAACTAAAAACAGGTTTTAACTGCAACGTATAGAGTGATTCGGGGTAAGATGGTAAGCGGGGGAAGATGCCTAATTTTTGATATTTTCAAACGGTGACGTCACATATGTCGTGTATTTGTATGATGAATCGTCGGGCCAATATTGAGTGCGGAAAGCTGTAGTTGGCTACCGTTACTTCATTTTCTTCATCCGAGAAAAATAAAAGCTAGATAAGAACGAAGCTTTTGTTGTGAAATGTTTCTAGAAGAATTTTAACCTAAAAGTTAAAATGGAATTTATTAAAAATTGCTAAAAACAATTAATGTGTGATGTAGTTAAGGTTCTAAAGTTTCCATTGTCAGCTACCGCCGATCCCGATCGGACATGCTGGAGCA